AGTGCTTGCCCATTGATATAGTTTGCAGACCTCTCTGCTGTCTTTTGAACCATAAATAAAGACTGTGACCCCTTACTTGCGAAATAGAAGGGATGAACTCACTATCTGGATTTCCAACCAGCTTTTTTGTATATGTGCAACACAGCCCACTTAACTGGGCTGCTACCTTCCAGCACAGCCTGCTACACTTTCGTAAGAGTATCTGTCTCATTACCCATTAGCTATAATGTAATTGTTTTAGAGGGCTCTCGGTCACTTTTGCCCTGGGTATCACCTTTTTTCTTTTTTCCAAAGCCCTTATGTTTTAAATAACTAGTCAAAGAAAGTAAGATGCACCTTCCCTCGCCTTTTTAATGGCATTCAGATTTTTCAAAAATACTTATTGCCCAAGTCAGAGGGAAAAATTCCTTGCTAGGCAGAACTGTGTTTCCTAGAGGGTTTAATCCTGTTTCAGACAAATTCAGTTACCACTTTGTTTAATTATGTAGGATCAGGCACTGAAAAAACCTTCACCCATGGAAGGGAGCTCAAGGGCATTTGTTTTCTCACCTCGGGTCCTAAGAACCAAGGTTATACACACATACCAGCAGAGCATCAGTCTATTTCCATGACATGGTAACTTCTCTTCTTTTAATTCTCTCCTCTTTCACAAAAATATTCTGTCTGCAAGCTGCACAGTCCTGCCTGAGTTTCAGGGCTTCATGGTAGATTTGCAAGGACTAGGTGAGCAGGCGTCAGCTAAGGCTCACATGAAGGCCCAGCACAGACTGGTGTACTGTGGATGCCAGTGAAATTCTCCTCCCCATTATTGATGTGAACACTGTGACAGTAGTTTACAAAAGCTCTCATAAAAGCCACCTGGAGACAGCCAGCCTCATTATCTTATCTTACAAAAATTGTCCAACTTCAGAGGGCAAGGTGAGGTGTAGTGAAAATCAGTGGGGATGTGTCCAAGAAAGCAGTTCATTCTTCAGATTAATGATTTATATAAAGCTAGAGCCAGCAAACTGGTTTTGTGCCTACGCGACTTTAAGTGCTTAACAGACTCATTGAAGCTGGGAGCAGAAAAATTAACATTTTGCTAGGTCGTCGGCTTTTTTATTCTGGCAAAACACGGATTATTTCTGACAGACACAAGATACAGTGGCTTTTCTTACAAGCAAAGGGTTCCAGCCAAAGTTTCCCTCTGGTCTCCATGAGTACAGTCAGTCCAGCTGAAACAACACCAGCACTGCTGGCATGGGTGGCTTGCAAAAGTAAATCAAGCTGGACTCAGAAATTTAATCAAAAGAAAAGAAAGTCTGTGTCACACCTCGAGTGAACCACAGGATGATCACAGCTGAACCGATTTTATGTGTAGAAAGACAGTGCCTGAAGTGTAAAGCACGTTGTCGATGGGGAAAAGGGACAAAGCCTTCTCATTTGAATCCCAGTGAGAGGACTCTAGCAAAGAAAAAGCCTCACAACATTGTCTGGAAAACTAGATATTGCTCTCCCTGTTGTTCAGTTTAAGAAGCGTTTACACATTAGTCTGACTTGAAAAATAGAGCTTGAGTATCCAGAGTGGTGCCAGGGTAAGAAATCAGGAAGCTGTTTTGTCTCCAAGCATCATTTAGACTCTTTCACATTATGAGCCATATACCAAACTTTTTACCCGAAGTCTCATTTTCTTTTGCTTCAATATACCTCCTGAATTTTAACATGTATAGCTCTCGTGTGCTTCATTCGACATTTAGTTGCCTAAAATACTGGTTTAAAAGTATCAAAATATGGATTTATAACAACTTCAGGTCATTTGGTCTTGAAGAATTGCACCCTGCTTCTCTAAATGTTAATATGAAGATTGCCTGACAAAGTCAAAAGGAGAAATTGGAAGTTTGATTGATTAATATCCACTTGCAGATATTTACAAGTATGTTTTGTCTTGTCATTCATAATTCTGCTATCTTCCATCCATGCATTTATTTGACTCCACAGTTAAGCTAGATAATGTTGAATTCAGTTCAACATTTATGCCTGGCAGCAGACTTTGCAGCCACAAGGTGATGATTTCATCAGAGGAATCAAGCAAAAGTGGAAGGAATGTGGGGTGTGAGAGGAAAGGAAAAAGAAGAAAAAAGTTTTTGTTGAAATACGAATATCTTCTGTGAGACTGATTTGAGCAACTATAACTCTAGCACTGTGACAGTGAGGGGATGTGGGAATAAATACCAGCCAAGCTCTTCTCTCACTATAAATATTCTCCTTTTTTCTAAACTGGCTCAGGCATGTTCTCTGCTCAAATCTCTCCTCTCTTACCAGAGGACCGCAATCAGGACCACCTTGCTCTGTCACATCCTGTCTAGTCAGCAGAGCTGCGGGAGCACCGCAAATTGTCACCCGAATTTTCTGTCACAGCACCCCAGCATGCCATTTTACACCAGCAAAGGAGGCCAATGGCAGCTCAACCCAGGGGGAGGTGATGCTGGATATAGCAGTTACTCTTCAGACATTCCCCATTCCACAGATAACTGCATAGCATTGCTCGTGTGCAGCAGTCTCTATACCCATGCTTATAGGTGACACATATTTTTCAGTATAGTTCTTTGATTATCAAAGGTATTGCTGTTATTCCATAAGGACAGGAATTTCCTATATATAATTAACAGTAGGGGGTGGTGCTTTTTTGGATAATGAGATTTCTAAATGCTGGAAGTTGAAAGAGAGTAGAAAAGGGACACACATATGATCTTTCATATAAAGCAGTCTGGTGATAATGCCTGGCTCACGCTCCCTTCACTTGCCCTTTGATGTTCAGACCACGCGTCAGATGTGAAAAGAATGACTGACAGTGCTGAAACAACACATGGTGTCTAATGAGCTCACTGAGGCTCATCACTCCCAGTTTTGACATTTTAATCTGAGCCCCTCAGCTTCTAACACTTTGATTCATCCTTTTGTGTGTCCACAGCTCTGTCTTTTTGAAAACCAGCTATCCCCAAGTCATCTGCATAAGACAGAGGCAGTCCTTCCCATGTATCACAAACTGCTCTCACAGGTGTCTGTGGGTGTGCCTGTCCCTTATCAGTGTCCAGTGCTGACCGCCATCCTGCTCCAGGACGTGACTTGCAAGGCCAGTGCCCAAGCAGCCCATAGTAACTCCTCTGTAGACTACAGGACAACTGCCCTCACTGGCAGACCTTGGGGATGCCCTGCAACACCAGTATGCATCCTCAAGCTGCTGGGTATGGCATCTGCTGCTGATGTACTGGATGACGCTGAAGAGATGGACGAAATTCTGGGCTTGGACACCCCATGGTGTTCTGCCAGACAGAATAGCTGTGAGACTGTGTGCATGTGAGTGCTACTGAGGGTAGAAAGTGCACTTGGCTCTGAAACCTTACACAGCCAAGATGCTCTCAACATTTTTATGATTTCTGTCAAGAATATTACTTAGCAGGGTTTATGTGAACGTCAAAGACATGTTGCTAACTGACTTGATATACTGCCTTTTAAGGAGATGATAAGAACTTGAATATAAGATAAGAACTGTTTTGTTGTTTGCTTGTAGTCACAAGAGACTATGATTGAATGTTCCTAAAACCTCATTTTAATGGAGGAGGGACAGAGTTTCTCTGAAAATACCAAGTGCAATTCCAAAACTTATGATCTTTCGTAATTCTGAGATCCTTTCACTGTATTAATCACTTTAGTTCATTCAGCTCCTCAAGGGACTCCTTTCTGCAATGGTTCTACAGGACAAAACATCTCATGGCCTCACTTACTTCTTACAGAGAAATGCTGGCTTACTCCCACTCTGCAGGATCCTGTAGCTCCAATGCCCTGGCTGTGGGACTAACCCCACCACAGCCTCCTACATCCTTGTGTGCACACAAAGGATGTGTGGGCCATACAGACCAGCCAAGAACTGTGCCATTCCCTGAGCACCTGCCAGGCTGGATGGTGAGTCAACTAGGACCTCAGGTAGATTATTATGTAAATTGAAACACAGCCTTTGTGGTCGAGTGGATAATGCTGAGACTCAGACTCTGCCTTAAAATTCTCCCTATGTTTGGGATTGCTTGTCTTTAAAAGGAAAAATGGGACTCACTCAATGTCCTAAGAAGAAAATAAATCCTAGGTTTGGTCATTATTTCGGTGGCTCTGGCTCTGTACATCAACAGGTCTACCCAAATCATGAAAAGACTCCATTTAGTATGTGCCATTTTAATCTGTGATTAGTTTTTAGCGTTTGAATAATGGCTTTTGTGAAAGATGTGATGTGTCACATTTCCAGGCTTTTAAAGGGGAATAATGAGTCTCATGACCTTTCACTTCTCAAGAGTCACCCAGCCACTGAACTCCAGTGCTGCACAATGCGAATAATCATTTCAGATGGCTAGGACTGGGTAATCCCAGTGCAGCGTTTCATATCCAGTTCACTTTTCAATGATTTATTTGTAATTTCTGCTAAACCACAGCTAAGTTACCCATCCCTTGGCTGCTAGATGAGTAACGGGTAATCCTTGCCAACAACGCAGTTTGTTTTGAAGGCAAATATAACTAGGAGACTGGAATAAATTGGTAGGTCAAGAGGTTGCACATAGGAACAGATGCCTATCCTCTGTCTGAACGCCAACTTCCAGAGCGCAGTGCTGTCATCCAGATGACCTTCCTCTCTCTTCTGCTGACCTTGGCCTAAAGTAAAAGAACCTCTCTGTAGTCAGAGCTGAGCCTGAAAAAGAAGAAACTCAAAAAAATATCCTTTCAGAAAAAAATAAAGGCTTCTTAAAAAACAAGTCCTTGCACTTCTGCCTTTGTTACAGCCCACACTTCAGTACCAGCACCATCCAGGGCCCCAGGATATTTTGCGCTTTAGCTCTCAGATCCAATCCAGCCTGGTTAGTCCTGTCCTCACTGCAATCACATGCTGGGAGAGTTGACCTCACCTTGGGTTACTTCTTGAGAGTCTTCCCCAGCAGCAGCAGCCTGGTCCCTTCTCCACTGTGGCAGGTACATCCCTAGGAGTTGCACTCCTCACAGTGGCAGGAGAGGATGTAGCGGTAGGTGGCTGTGAGCCGCATGCCTCCTGAGCATCGCAACCTCATGGCCTTCAGCTTGGAGGTCTGGGGTCGGCAGCAGTGGCAGGTGGAGCGGAAAGGCTGCTTTAGAACGGTGCTGAAGGAAACCATTGGCTCCGAGCGCGATGACTGGCTGCAACGTCCTTCACAGCGAGCCAGCAGCACCATCTGCAAAGGAATAGAGACAGGTTAGGAAATGTGCCCTCAGCTAGTACCAGCAGATAGGTACCTCCTTCCAGTCTGGCTGGTCTTTCCACCTTGGAGAGGGCACCCAGCCCCACAGAGTGCATTGCCCCTGAACTATCTCTGAGAGAGCAGAGGAGGTGACATGGGCAGGAGGAAGGGCAAGGAACCTCCTGGAGTCCCAGACACCAATAAGGACTACAGGGCCTGATTTTGTGAAAGCTGACTTTGGGACTCCAAGTGATCACAGATAGCACTGCCTTCCAGGCATGATGACTGCAATAGTGATTTGTTGACCTCAGATTTGTGGCAGCCGAGCCTTTAAACCACCATCCAGATTGATACTTCAGTTGGATATTATCCAATGTTTTGAGTGTATATACTAGTGATCAGGAGAATTGTCCCTTGAGGCCAGTGAATGTCTCAAATGGCTAGAAACATAAACACATAAAGTAGAAACATAAAGAAGATGCACACTTTATTCCTTCTAAAGAAGTAAGTTTCTAGCTTCCTACTTTTACAAAGATCATCTTGAATACTTATTTGCAGTTGTATTCACGACATAGCCTAAGGCAGTGAAAATGTAATCCAGATGAACTTGTTGCCAAACATGAGGGTTCACTAGTGAGATTTTTCAAAAACAGTGCAGCCTCCATGGTTCTTCTCCTCCTGAGTTCAGTGTCTGAACTGTGAACAGGACAAGGTAACTTGCATAACAGGAGGCACTAAGAAAGGAAAACCCATGGGAAGTCACGTACTCCCTTTCCTGATAACCTCTTGTTGAGCAGAGGAGATGGATAGTCTCCCAAGCTCTATATAGAACATGGGAAGGATCTTCTAAAGTTCAGGAAATTATGTGGTTAGGAACAGCTATTAGCATCTTGATAATGGGTAAGTGTTGGACAAGATTGAATAAACTCTTACACCTTTGTGGCAAAAGAAATATTAATTCCATATCAGCTAAATCTGCTTAAGCAACACAAATTTCAAAATCGACTTACTATACCATGCAACTACAGTACAAATGTGAGAAAGTAGGCAGCAAACCAATCAAAACCCTATCCTATAACCAAGGAAGAAAACTACATTTTAACCATGCTGCACCTATCTCACGTTTTGGGATTTTTGTCCAGACAATGTAAAAGGATAACTGAAAATATGAGGTTAAACATTCTGAGCTTCTTTCACTACACGTGCTCAAATGGCTTCAAATCTCCAAGTCTTGCCAGCAGGTATGTCAAATGTTAAATTTTCTCTTTAGTCAGAGTCATGAGGAAAGATGAGAAAGAGGAAATTTTCCTGGTATCAAGTAGAAAACACCAGCACTGTTTGTGTCTAGGGGAAAGACATTGATCAGCCATTATACAGTGTTTAAGAATCACTCTTCCAAGAGTACTTGCATGCTCAGTGGTTTGCTCTTTGCTTGGAAATGTATCAATATATTAACAACTATGCTTCCAGTCAGCACAAACAGATCACAAAGAGGATGTCTTCATGAGCTAATGATCGAGGGTTGGTACTATCTTTTTCCTTGGTTTAATTAAGAGAGGACTTTTTGTTACTTTCCAAAAAATTTCCAGTCCTTCATGATTTTTAGCATAAATGTATGATCCTCTTCCTGTGGTGCTGCATATTTACAAGAAAATTTTGCTTCAGCTCCTAGTAGTAATATGGTGGGAAGGAAATTTCAGTGTACTCTTGAGTCATGCACAGAGGCTTTAGATGCTATCAGTTATGTCAAGCTCCCTAATGCCAGTATCTTCAGTGTATACAAGAAGAGGGAAAGGGACAACCATTAACGGTGCTAGCATCGCATTACTGACAGATAAAGATCCACTTTTTTCCTGTTGGTAAACCAAACTCACTTCCCACAGTGACAGGCAGGCAGATGGGGAAGAGCTATGCAGGTATCTGAGTGTCTGACTGGTCAGACACTGGAACAGACTGCCTAGGGAGGGGTTTGAGACGTCATCCCTGGGTGTGTTTTAGTGTCGCTTAGATGTGGTGTTGGGTGATATGGTTTAGGGGTGAACTTGTAGTGTAGGGTTAATGGTTGGACTCGACGATCCCAAGGGTCTTTTCCAACCTGAATTGTTCTATGATTCTATGATTCTGTCTAATTCTGCCAAGATTGCAAATGAAAGACAGCAGATCAGGATATTTAAAACAGTTCTCAGCATTTTGACAGCTCTTGTTAGGTCCCCCGCCTTGATCACTTCCCCAGACTGTGTGCACTCTCTGTCACAGGCTACACCCAAGCATTTTGTTGAAAAGGCGGGTGAAGAGCAGTCCAACAGCAGCTGGCAACTGCTTGAAGGTTGCAAAGATAATGGAGCCGAGCTCTCCTTAGGAGTGGCAAAGGGGAGCATGCATTGGCCACAATTTGCTTTTTGGGAGATTCAGAGGATCTCCAGAGTCCCTTCCAGCCAACATTTCTCTGATTCTGTGATTTCAGCCCAAATATGAGAGCATGTGTTGCTGTATGATGGAGGTGACTTCCAATGGTTGATGCTTCTGGAGCTGGAACAGTCACTTTTGCTAGTTACCCTAAGGACTTGTTATGGCAGACATCTGCTCCTGAATCTGCAGGTACTTTCTGCAGGTACTGGAAAAAAAAGCAACCCCCAAAGAAACATGATTAAGGACTACAGAACAGTAGCAGCAGTGTAATTATATAGCAGAATTATCTGATGTGCCAATATCTGTATCTCAATACATTTCTCACGGACAGCAATCTTTCTAATGCAAAACCAGTCAATATTTCTTCAATGTGCAACTGTATTTATAATTGCTTAGCAAGTCTGGTGTTTAAAAACATGTTTTGGTCTGTCGAGACTCTAATTTTAATCTCAAATTTTACTGGCTACTTAGTTTTTAATAAGAGTACCATCAATATTCATATAATGTAAAATTACACAGTGTTGGTTTTATGCCCTGGTTTTGGATGACAGTGTAAACTTTTACAATTGGTAAGGCACCACATCAAGTTTGCAGAATAAAAAACTGTCAGATTTCCCATTTTGTACCTTTCTAAACTTAGGGGCTAACCTGAAGTCCTCAGCAAAATTTAACCACCTCATCCTCATAAATCCAGAACAACACCAGTGGATTTTGGCAGGTGTGCAAATGAACTGGAAATAGCATGTACTTTAAAAGCTTTGCTTTGCCATTTAATCAATTGGGCCAGCTGCTTTTTGTGTCTTATATTATAGTGCAATAGAGATAATCGCCCAAATAATTAGTAATGTTACGATGGCATAGCACAGTAATACAGTGGGTGTATATATAGTAAAAATATGTGGGTATTTTATAACCTGATATGCATGCCTCTTGGCTCCCCTCATCCCCCACATATGTGAGCTTGTGCATGTCACCTTGCCACAGCGGATCCAGAAGCATAGCGTGCTACAACGTGGGAATCACGGGGCTTTCTCATGTATGAGCAGCTAGGCAAGAACAGTCAGCAGTCTGATAGTTATCTAGAAGGCCACTAAAGAGAGTGACCTGAATCTGAGGCAGTATTTGACTGACCATTCAAGCCGTATTTTGGAAATTGAGAAGTTGAGAACTGGCTTGTCATTAATTATGTTTACAGTCCTCTTTTCGGAATTCTTCACAACAAGACGAGGCTGAGGCCAAGATGCACAAGAACAGACTTTCACATGGTATCCATGGCCTGGCTGCAAGCAGGCACTACTACAGTAGCACACTTCCGGCACATCTGAAAGAAGCACTTGTGACAGCCAGTACTACAATGTAAGAGGCTCTAGTTGCAGAGGCGAGGGGATCCAGCACATCAATGAAGACCAGTATGTCTCTGTGACAGAGGTCAGACAGAATCCAGTATGGTCAGGAAAGGCAATATGGTCAGGAAAGGCAGGTAAAAGCATTTCCTTGAAGCCAAAGGAAAACACTGTTTTCCAGGAACCCTTTTCCATCCCTCTTCTGTGTCTCTTTTATATATTCTGTTACTATAATGGAATACATTTCCAAATGCTTTGGAAATCTCTTTTCAACATCTGCCTGAGGTCACAAGCAAGAGGGATTTTAATGATTACATTACAGTGGGTAGATGTTTCCAGTGTAACAAAAGCTACTTCCCATGTGGGTACAATTGGCTGCCTCCACAGAGGATCATGGTGGACATAATCCCTTTTTTAACAAAAATGGACAGCAAACACAATATGTCTTGCAATTTCTGAAGCCATTTTTAACTTCTGTAATTGCATTCTACACTGAAATATATGGAGTGAAAAAGAATGGCTTGATGGAACTAATATATCACACCAAAAAAGGGCAAAGTCTCTGCTCGACATCAGTTGTCAGTCCAAGCTTTACAATGGAAAATCAGTGGAAACAAGAGGGACCACAATTCCCACAGATACTCCCACAGAACCTTGCTTTCTCTGATTTGTTTATATTTTATCACAATATGTATAGGAACAGACATTACATCTAATTTTCATTAGCAAGTCTAAGATTAGTTTTTGTTTATATGCTAGATCCAGAACAGAAGTCATATGTCTACCAGGATGACTCACATTCCTGAGAGTATGAAAAAAAAGAGCTTGATTTAGCAAAAAGAGAGAAGTTTTCTAGGAAATGTCACAATTATTCTTCTTTGTATGAAAACTGTTTTCAGCTTCATGAGAAAGTCCACACAACTTGCAATATTGTTAAAAAAATGTTCTTGAAACCATTGTAGGATTGGGAAAGCCAAGAGATGTGATAATATTTTCAAACATGATTTCCATTAAAGGCTTGATTTAAAAAAGTAACTGACATTTTTTCAGTCAGAGTTACAAATGTTTATGTCAACAGCTTTTTTTCTCAAAGCTCGGTTATGAAATAATATGGTTTTCATTACAATGCATTCTGTGTTCTCATTTCCATCAGTCCTGCTCCTAAAGACACGATTGCTTTTCTCTGTCATTAAGGATGCTAAGAAATCAATGTCTTTCCCTCCCCCCCTCCCCCCTCTCTCC